TATTTTCACACAAAAAAACAGTCTTAACCTATTGTGTCAATCATTCACATTATATGTAAATCAAATCATCATGCTGTATGCCTTAAACTTATACAGTGATGTATGTTTATTATTTCTCAATAAAACTGGGAAAAAATGTTTTAAGTGGCACACTGAGGAAGACACACTGGGTTTTAAATATAGTTGGCTTTAGTTATCCAGAAAAATCCCTCTCATCCCAAGCCAGACAAGCGAAGTGTTCTGTGTGATTTACTTATTTCCTCAAATGAGGAGAGGGTTGTGTGTGGGTTCGCCACAGTGATTGCCCATGGTCCCCCAGTGCTCCTCCCCACGCCATAGGATGAAAGGCTGGGAAGCCAATCCTCTGAGGACAGAGACTTCTTTCCTTTTCTTCCCTTTTCTCCAGTGCCTGGACCAGTGCTGGGCACCTAGTGTGCCCTCAGTGAGTGTGAGATGAAAGAAGGAGTGCACAAAAGAGTGAGTCATGGGGGGAGGGCATAGCTCACTGGTAGAGCGTGTGCTTAGCACGCACGAGGTACTGGGTTCAAGCCCTGGTACCTCCATTAAAAATAAATAAATAAATAAACCTAATTATCCCCCCAAATAAAATAATAATAATAAAATAAACAAACAAAATCATTAAAAAAAAAGAGAGAGACATGCATGGGAGTGGTGCAGAGCAGAGCAATTTGAGCCCTCCAGGACCAGGACCTGTGTGGGCCGGGAGATTGGACAGGGTCACTCCCAGCTGTGTGGGGAGGCCTGGCCTTCTAGACAAAACCCCCTTCCCTCTGCCCTGCCCTATCTATCCTGGTCTAGCTACCCACTTGGCCCACCCTGGGCCAAATGGCCCTGGCAGCATTCTCAGCCCAGCCTCAGCTTTCCTAGCTATTGACAAGCATCAGCAGCCCGCGGTGGGTGGTAACACTCAGAGAAGCCAGCGTAGAATGCACACACAGGAGGTGTTTGGTCAGCTCACCTGCTTGCCTTCCGTCCCCCTCTTCCTTCCTTCACCTTCTGGAAGAGTAGAAAAGACCAGGCCAAAGCAGCAGGGCCACTTGGTCAAGTCATCCATACCCTGCCTCCACACCAGCCCCACCTGACTCCACTCCCATGTCTGGGCCAGGATGGACCCCGCAGGGCCAGGCCCCAGGGAGGTAGCCATTCAAGGGGAGAGAGGCTGGGCTGTAGGCCGGTGGGGGAGCTGCCCATAAATCAGGCCCCACTCCCACCCAGTCGCTAACAAGCGGGGCTGCCTACCCGCCTACGTGGGGTCCCTGCCTCTGGGCTCCCACAGCGGCCTGGAACAGCCAGCTGGCCAAGGCCTCCAGAGTGCCTTGGCCTCCGCCCCCACCCGCGGCCCCGAGATAGATAGGGGTATTTTTTTTTCTTTTAGGAGAGAAAAAAAATAGACCTAAATGAAGAG